CCCCTCGCGCGCGAGTCGAAACTTTTTAAGAATGTCTTAACATTTCCTGCCTTAACGCAAACACTTCGCAGACATCATTACAAGGTCATCCGATTTCACTTTTTTTTTGCCAGAGATTGTAGTTAACGATTAGAGCAGAGAGGGGGCGTTGTCGACCACCGTCTTGTGAGTGTAGGTCAATAGCTAGAGCTGTTACGATAATGGAAGCTGGCGCCCAGGCTCGGACATGAGTATAGAACCAACAATACAGTCATCAGCCGAATGACTCTCTTCCGTATATATATATAATTATGTGTGTTTGTGTGCGCGCGCGCGTGCGTGCGTGTGCGTGTGTAGTTGTGTGTGCGTGTGTATGTGTGTATGTGTGTATGTGTGTATGTGTGTATGTGTGCATGTTTGCGTGTGTATGTGCGTGAGTGCGTGTGCGTGCGTGTATGCGTGCATGCGTGTGTGCGTTCTACACATTTAAACGGCAGTACTGTAGCAGTTTCGTCAGCGATTGTATTGCCAGCAGACCACCCACGGTTCCCTGTCTCTTACTTTCGTTAACAGAAGTAACGAAGTAGAGTTGTCCATTGACGAAGTCAGGCGACGGGGATCTTGTCCACGTTGCCATATCAACGCGAATGAAGGCAATTTATCCGCGTCTGATTCTTCTCCATGCGTTTACACTGCTATCGGTAGAGTACACGGAATATTTTCATTCTTTTCTGGAGATACATTCGTGCACGAACTACTACTAATGTTGTAGTGGCTTAATATTAGATAAGACGGGGGGGGGTCTATCTTTGACCTCAAATGTGCCTGATTTACAGTGCGATAGAATTCAGATAATGTTATTATCGACCGGTAAATACGACTCATAGGCATCCTTGCGTATTTAGACCGTACTGGATACCGTAACTATTCGTTATTAAATAAGGATTAGGACACACATAAGGATAAGGATAAGGATCGGACACACATATAAGTTCTGGTGCTTAGTGCGGGTCGTCAGTAAGAATTGACCATAACCAATAACAATAACATTTAAAACATCAGACGCGGATGGGTTGCCTTCATACACGTGGACAAGATCCCCGTCGC